CCCAGGCTGAGGAGGGTGCGACAAGCACCCCTGGGGGCTCCAGCCCCCCCCATCACCTTTGATGCCCCCCCGGGCCCAGCCGCCCTCATCCACATGGGGCAGCCAGTGGGGTGGCCCGAGACTGTTTGGCTGGCAGCCCCCTGTGCTGATTAGTCCTGACCTTTCCAGCTTGTTAAATATTTAAGTCCTGAAGGAAAAGCCATCGATTTCAATTGGGGATGTCTCAGCAGGGCAGGCAGGGAACTAGGGGGCATGGGATGAACTGCTTAGCCAGGCAGGTGCACATCGTGACCCCAAAGCAGCCTCTGCTCCAGCAAAGCCCCCCAACATCTTCCCCGGCACGCAATACCATACTCTGCAATGAGCCAATCCCCACACCCAGCCAGAGACCCTCTGGGTACACCAGCAACACGGTGACTCCAAATCCAAGTCCTGCCTGCAGGACTCCATAGTGGGGATGATGCCAGGAGCCTTCTTGCACTTCTCAGCCCGAGTCTGTCCGTCCATCCATCCATCTATCCATCCATCCTTCCCCCACTTTGGCCCTCCAATGCTAGCCCCTGCTGGGGGCCAATTTCCATCCTTGCTGACCCCCTCCTTCTCCTGCCCCCTCTCTCCAGGCCCTGCCACTTCATTACAATGGATTTTATAGTAAAGACATCAGATTGAAGGAAGGACTTGCTGGCCAGGCAGTGGCTATAAGTTATTGGATTTCCCAGCCGCAATTACACGGGCCAAGCGGCCCTTCTATTTACCTGTGTAGACAACTCCATTTATTTCTATTGACATGTTGATACTGCTAATGCCGTTGGTGGACAGGTTCAATGCGGTCTCCTGTCTGTCATCTGGGGAAAGGAAATACCAATATGAGCATTAACAGAAACAGAAACAAGAACCTGCCCGAGAGAGAAGTGGGGCCCTGGCCTCTCCAGGCATCCACGCTCCTCTCCAGCTACTGCAGCTCCCTCTTGGGGTGCCAGGGGATGGGGTGACCCAAGCTGAGGTGTTGCATCTCGCTACCTCGGTTGGAGATCTTGACGTTCATGGGGAACTGGGAAGCCACGGCCAGGAGGTTGTGCTGAAGTGCGTGTTGCACCAGCCGCTGCTGCTCCTCCACCGTCAGGGCCGCCTTCTTCTCCGGGGGCTCCCCTGTCTCCAGCTTCTCCCGCAGCTGTTCCAGCACTGCTGCTTGCGAGGCAGCTGCTGCTTGGGCCGCTGCAAAGTGGTGGCCGGCCAGTCCCACCGGGATAGCAATGCGCCCTGGCACCGCTGCTGCCAGCACGCCATCCTCTGCAACGATCAGGAGAGCTCAGCAGGTCCCCCCATCACCACCCCATCTCACCATCCCCAGATGGTGCCACCTCCATTCCAGGAGCATGGGTCAGGGCAGGCCACCACCACCAGCATCTGCGCTTGGTCCTTCTCCAAAGCCAGGAGAAATAAAGCTTTCTCAGTTCCAGAGAGGGACTAAATGAACAAAAATGTTCCTTTTTTTCCCCCCAAGGCAAAAAGGGCAAGAGCAGACAGGTGACAACACTACTGCTGGAGTAGTGTCCATCCCTGGGAAGAGATGCCCACCACGGGGCAGATACGCTCCTCACCCACCTTTCTTAACGGCATGCACTTGTCCAAGCTGGCCGCAGCTGTGCGTGGAGATGCTAAGAGCAGGCAGAGGCATTTTGGGGGAGGCCAGCAGGGTTGGGGTGCCAGACGGTGAGTAGTTAAAGAGCGCCGTGCCGAAAGTCTGCCTCCGTCCCTCCCGACGGTTGCTGTCGATGGCGGCTTGGAGCTCCCCCGGAGAGCTGAGCGCCCGCTTCTCACATTCGTAGGGATACAGGTACTTCATGTACCTGCACAGGGAGAGAGCCAGGATGAGATCCAGAACTACATGCCTCACAGAGAGCACTGTGCTGAGCAGGGACCAGAGTGGGGATGGCACCCGGGAAGCGGCAGAGCCCTCCAGCCCCTTTTTGGGACACTGCATGCTGGACCCCGCTTGGGGCTCTGGAACATCTGCGCCAGCGGGTGCCCCAGGGTAGGTGCCCCCCACCCACCACCACCACCGCCAGGTGCTCACTGTGTGCGGAGGGTGAAGGCAGCGCTGGTGATGGAGGTAGGTAGGTTGAGGCCCTTGGTAATCTCCCTCCAGATCTTCTTGTTGATGACTTCGACCAGGCCACCCTTGTCCGTCACCAGTCGGTACAGTGTGTACAGGTCCAGCACTTGCTTGGCCATGATGGGGATGCGGTTCACGGGCGTCCCTTCCAGCCACACACGGGAGAGAGAAAAGGTGTAGGATGAGCCCGCGGTGACCCTCCCTCCCTGGGGACACGGCCCCACCTTGTCCCCACTGCCACTGCAGGTACCGGCTGCCCCACAAGGGGAGATGCCTGGATGAGCACCCATGGGCATGGGGGGTGCAGGCAGGACCACAGGGTGCCTGGAAGAGCAGCACCATGCCCGTGAGCAGGGCAGACCCCAGCATGCTGGCACAGCGTCCCCATTGATGGAGCTGGCGGTGGGTCCGGGTGCGCTCTGGGCACAGTGGGATGGGCAAAGTGCCTCCTCCAGAGCCCCTTAGAGAGGGTTGTTCCCTCACAACTCCTAGAGCTCCCCGCAGAGCACCTCCCCCCAGAATCTCTCAGAGCGTCCAGGGAGGACTCTCTCTGTAACCCCCTTTCAGAGCCACACAGAGACCCCATCTCAACTTTGTAAGGGGACACACCCTATGACCCTCTCTGAAGAGGGACTCCCCCCTGTAAGCCTTCTGGAGGGACTCACCCTATAACCTCCCTATAGAGAGGTTTTCTCTCTCAAAAATCTCCCTCTGAGCCCCATAGAAAGGGACTCCCCTAAGAGTCCCTGGGGAGGCTCTGCACCCCACAGATCCCCCCCAGCAGCTCACTGACTGCTTAAAGGACTTCAGTGCCCTACCTCAAGAGACCTGACCCCAAATCCCCTTCAAGTGTCCTCAGTAGAGACCCTGATACCTGGTCCCCCAGCATCATGCCCCCACCGAGGCCATGGAGCAAGGGGACATGAGGTCACCAGGGGTCTGTAAGCCCAGCACGGACCAGCATGGTCCCCACAGCCACCAGGTCTGGTTACAATGCCCTCCCCACCTTCCCAGCACCCCCAAACAGCCCCACAGCCTTGCTCTGCCCCATGGCACCTCAGGGCAATGGTCCAGGCAGCAGCTGGGGGCTGCAGCAGGGCAGAGGAGGTATAAGCATCCCATCCTATCCTGTCCTGTCCCATCACACCCCATATTTATTCCTCCTGCGGGGTGGTGGGGCGCAGGCGGTATCGGAAAGCCATCCATTTGGCCAGGGAAGGCTGTCACAGCTGCGCTTCACCCCTCAAACGAAGCTGTCATTCACCACCATCCTCCAGCATCTCTAATTTATGGCCCTGATATTGGCTCAGCTTCTTCACATAAGCCTGAAAAATGAGCTCTTTTTATTCCTTTACTGAGTTCATTTAACTTTTTTTTTTTTTTTTTTTTTTTGTGTCTGTGTTGTTCGCCCGGTCGGGAAGGGGGAGAGGAGTTTATCCTCCCGGGAAAAATGCAGAGATATTGACTCGGTATCTGCAGGCAGTCCCTCATCATCCCTGCCTGGGGGCTGCTGGCACTGGCCGCACCACCTCGGGGGGGCCCGATTCGTGGGCTCCCCATCATTCCAACATGCCAACGAGTTTGCAGGGTCTCAGCCTGCGATCGATGGCCCACAGACTTCTTTTCTCTTTCCCCTCTCCCCAGGCGTGGTAGCTAACGAAAGCGGCTCACCATTAATCTCGAGGCTGTGCGGGGCGGGTGGCCGGTGCCTGTCCTGCTGACAAAGGGACCTGTCTCCGTCCCCACAGAGTGATGGCCCTGGCCAGGGCGAGCGGCACAAAAGCCCAGGGAGGTAATGCAGCCATTGTAGTGCTGCAATTAGGTCCTTGATTGATTAATGGTCCCATGTTATCAGCAGGGCCCTCAGCTTGGCAGAGAGATGGGGGGGCCCTGCAGACTCCCAGTGAGCAAACGCAGAAACAGTCACCCTATGTCCCAGCCTGTCACTTTTGGGGTGCCACGGAGGTTGGGGCATGGGGATGAAGTGCCCCACATCTGATGTAGGTGATGGTATCACCCCCATGTGCTACTGGGGCATGGTGTCCCTGACCTGTGCCACAGGACTCTCCCAGCTGTCCCCAACCCATTTTTCAGCCCTGCTAATCTTCCACCCCGCTGACCAATGCCAGTTCCAAAACTGCTCTGAGAGACAGCAGGGGGGACGTAGCCCCTTTCATTAGGGCTCACCCTGCAGGCATCAATCCCCCCTGGCCCACCGGCACCCTAGTGACACAGCCTGGGGGTCGCAGCCCCCTGCCCATGCACCCCTGGGTGCCCCAGTAGCACCTGCGCTGGCTCATGGATGCTGCTTCTCAGTCAGCTCCTGATGATCCATGGAATGTTGTCCCTATCCCGCAACCCCTCTGTCTCCGTTCTCTTTGCTACCCATCTCCAAAATCCTCCAGTCCTCTAACAGATCCATGCATACCCGTGCATGCACACCCACACCTGTCTGCCCTCCCTGGGGGGATGCCACCCACTTGGAGGAGGCGCAGGACAGAGGGGACAGAAGCAGGACAGCAGGACACAGAGGGATGAGGAGCAACATTGGCAGGGAAGCATTGGGCTCCCTCCCTCCTCGTCGCACCACCATGCACTTGCTTAATTAGCCCCGGCCCCAATGGCGAGGGAGTTAATTAGCTCTGGAAAGAGATAAAGAGAGATAATAAAGCCGCAGAACAGCCCATGAATCTTGTGGTTGACGGATACCGGGGGGTCTGAGGCAGTGCTGATGCTCCCACTCGCTCCCCGCGCCAGGGGGACCAAGGGGCACCCATGGGGTGATACACACCCTCCCGCACGCCTCCAGCTGGGCTCCAGTGAGAGCCCCACGGCTGCGCCAGCCACCTGCAGCACAGCCCTGAGTGAAATGAGTTTGTGGGGTCTCAGCCCGACCCAAAAGTCAATCACTGACACCCCACAGGCGGACGGGTACCCTCACCACCCTTCCCACGGGCACAGTTTGGGGGCAACTGCCCCTTTCTGCCCTCACCCCACACACAGCCTGCCCCACCGCTCCTGCACACCCCCCAGCCTTCCCCACTGTTAATTAGCTCGGCATTAACCTCTGCCTGGGGTTTACTGGCTATCGAGCGGCATGTTCATTAATCCACACACCAGCAAAAGGCTCTAATTAATACGGCCGGCCACATGCCCGTGCTCGGCAACTTTTAATTGTCGCCGGCCCGGATGGGGAGGGCGAAGGTTAAAGCATTTATCGAGTCCCCAGGAGCCCGCTT